GCTGAAAAGATATTATATTGTCTGTCGAATTTCACCTCGATAAGACACTAGTCAAACCATCAAAAATGATGTATTATCCTCATTTGAGCTAATAAATTGAGGAAACCTTTTTTTCTCAACTCCTCATTTTAACTCCATTTATAGTCTGGGCTGTAATTTTTCTCCAAACCATATTTCCTACTTAGTTTCGGTATAAGTAGTATTCGAGACTTCACCACCTCGACAAAGACCACTCATGTTGTGGTCTCCTTTCCCTGCTAAAGGTTTATAGGTTGGTTTTGCTGGAGCCTTTATTGAGCATGGAAATCCTAATTTTCATTCCTGTGCTAGTCATTCTAGAGGACAGGCAGGCGCCTAAGCCTAGATTTGAACAAGCTTCCTTGATTGTGTTTGAGGATGGGCAACAATTTGTAGAATTTATCCTTGCTCTATGTACTCTAAGCTTGACATGGAAACGTGTTGTTGCTGTCCCTTTTGTGCATTCTTCGGCCGGATTAGGTCGAAAGAGCTATACTCTAACAAGAAGTGCCCTTTCTCTCCTCCCCAAGCCTATGGCTAATCGGTCGTTGCGAATAGTACACACTGAGGCGCAGAGGTGGGTGTCATAGAGATTCACATCGTTTCACCCAATAAAAAGGCTTCAACGTGAAATAATCCAAGGGCATGAAGGCTGAAGCCGGCCAAATAAGTGTCAAAAGACTCCCACGTACCTTCGTGTCGTTGGAACCTGTGATTAGTATGAAATAGAGGTTGTACAAAGTATGAATGACTGTTCGTAAGAAAGTAGGGTTTCGAGACTACCAGTAAATCAGTCTAATGGGATGTATTCACCCTATTTCGTGTAAGGTGATGAAAGACTGGTAGTAGAATTTTCCCACAATGGTATGAGTTGAGCTGACGTTTCCATTGGATTTCACATAGCCTTGCTTTCCCTAAAGTTGTTCTCATCCAAACAACAGTGGACTGCAGTTTCGACCTCGCATTGGTCTTATCAACACCCTCAGCGGGATTCGAACCGCGACAGTGGAGGACGGTAGCTTGACACGCTAACCACTCGGCTACACTGCCACGAGTAACCTTGAGTCACAGGGCATAAGTGAGTTTCAAGGAAGGGACTGAAGTTTCGACCTCGCATTGGTCTTATCAACACCCTCAGCGGGATTCGAACCGCGACAGTGCAGGACGCTAGCTTGACACGCTAACCACTCAGCTACACTGCCACGAGTAACCTTGAGTCACAGGGCATAAGTGAATTTCAAGGATGGTCAAGATTATACTTCGGTGGGAGTGTCGATGAAGCAAACGTATGTCTGCTATAGAAATCGACAACGTTACTTATATTTGTAAGAAAGTAGGGTTTCATCACCTTACACGAAATAGGGTGAATACATCTCATTTGAATGACTGTTGCCGGCTGTCATGCCTGGTTTCGTATTTGGTGAAATTCCTTAAAGCATGCTTTACGCCATGTCGATGTTTGCCACGAGGGGACAGACGAAGAAGGAATACAGAGGAATCGTAATCGAAGGAGGGCGTTCTGAAGACCGATTCTCTCAAATGAACAATCATGGGTGCCATACCATCCTGTTCATTCTATGAAAATTAAGGTTTCAATGATACAAAATATGCAAACAGATTTTTTCCCACCCTGATATGAGTAGGCCTCATGATGATATAGAATTTCACTTAGCCTTGCCTCCAAAATGGGTAGGT